GGAACTGTGAGACAGTCTATGCCTCGTTCTTTCCTGTGACGATTTCAATAAATTCAATCGTATAATGAACTGGGGAATCGGTATCGTAATCGTCCGATCTGTCCAGTTTAACGGCTATATGCAGACAGCGATGGACTTTCCCGTCGAAGAAAACTAATCCTCCGTTGTGCGACGTATTCGACGAATTAGTCTGTCCTTTTGTATCAAGTGTTGTGTGAGTAGAGCGAGAACACCTGTTCCGAGAATTCGAATGCGAATTCTCGCTACTGGTGATTCCGCCCAGCAGACGATGTTATTATTTTTTCTACGGCTCGCGTTGACTCATCGGTTCATGTTAATTTTAATTTTAACGCTGTATTAGAAATTCAATATAACAAGGCCGAGTAATCGTCGTAAACCTTGTTTCTTAATTCTAAAACTGCGATCTTTAAGGATGTATAGGCTATACATATACTTAAACAATGCTGGCATGNTGGCATTTTATTGATGTTGACAAAATCCGACCATCCCAGCGTCGAAATGGCGAACTTTTGACAAAAAATTTCGTTTTTCCTCAATTACTCCTAAACCGTTGAATCTACGGGAAAATTGTATAGGACCTTTCTTGTAGAGGACGACGAGATCTACAATTTCCATGTAAAAATTTTTCGCTAACGTCAATAGTTAACGAGTAATTTGCAAAAAACTGTTTTTTCGTTTTTTGCAAATAACTCATAAACTATTAATGCTAGTGAAAAGTTTTTACATGGAAATTGTAGATCTCGTCGTCCTCTACAAGAAAGGTCCTATACAATTTTCCCGTAGATTCAACGGTTTAGGAGTAATTGAGGAAAAACGAAATTTTTTGTCAAAAGTTCGCCATTTCGACGCTGGGATGGTCGGATTTTGTCAACATCAATAAAATGCCATATAATCATATGTAACTCATTAAATATCGAAATTAGAAGAAAAGTGCACTATTTTTAATGATAGGAAATGAGTTTTGTCTAAGGTACATAAACTTTTTGTATTGACTATATAGCCAATACATCCTTAAACAACGTGTAAAACAGTTGTCATTACGGGGCTGTTTAATTAATTAATCGTCCTCGAAGTTTCGAAGTCAAAAACTTACCGAGTCTTGACGGATCCCAGGAACTCGGTACCAATACAAATTGAAACAGCGATCGGGATCGTTACAGCATATGTTGCCATCCCCGATTTTATTAGATCCCAATGATGCTTCGCGTGTGACTTTATTCTCCGCGCTCGGGCCAAATGTCCGGGAACAGTGTACACGTACATCGAGTGCTTTTAAGATGGATCGACAAGGTGGTACAAAGAACGACGCTTTAATAATGCGACCGAGTCAAGAGGAAACGAATTCTCCTCGTCCCACCCGAGCCAAGGGAAGCTATTTCTGGTCCCTTCGACGCCGCTGTCAAGGATGCCACTTTTTCATTTACGACAGCGACGTCGAGCACCTCGGGGCCCGGGCATTGCGAAAACAGTTAGGCGCATTATATCATATCCGTAGGAGAGCGCTCTCTCGTTCCGGAGTGGACATTGTTTCAACCCGTCCGACACGGAACAATGCCAGGAATCGAGTGCCGGCGTACGTTGAAACACTTTTTTACTTACCAGTCAGCGCCGACAATGATCTCGTTAAAGAGGCCTGACCGGGCCCACTTTGGCCACGATAATGCTTTTCTCTTCACCCTCCTTTTATCCTGTCCTACTCTTTCTGATCGTCAGTTTCTTCTTTTGACTTTTTTTCGGTACCAAGTGGGCCTCGTAACCGCCAATGAGGGTCAAACTTGCCCACTTGAATCTTGACTTATCCAGGATTATTTTGCGATACGTATGATCCGAATTTCTAGAAAACAGTGTATGGAAAGGCGTAATTTCGAAACGCGCATCGTGACCAAAGTGGGCGGTCAACCAAATAGAGTTCGCGCCCGTTTATCGTGCTACCCGGGGTCCAGAGGAAGGTGCATACAAATATAATGTACATAAGAGAGTTACCCACGAGAGAGAAATGAAGAAGGGGTCGAAAGTACGCACCCTACCGAGGAAACGGGCCAACAGAGCCAGCGGGGTTTCTTAGGGTGAAGAGAGTAGAGTAAAAAGGTCCCCGCGCCAATACAATTGGCCTCTAAACAGAGGGTAGTTATAGCGAAACGCAATGCCCATTGGGGTGACGGCGAAGATGGAGAGCCGATCGTCTCTCTTTCTTCTACCCTCTCACCAATATAGCCATGCGTTATGCCTCATGAAAGCAAAGGGTGGTCACCTTCGACAGATTCGGGGTGAGACTTTTCAATGCACCGACCGGAACACGGGAGAGAAAAAAAAAAATTTTTCTATATGTATGCCCGCGTATAGGAAAGGGAGCGCGACGAGAGGTGCCGTTTGACGAGAACCTGACGTCTCTCCGGCTTTCTTCTCCGCTTTATATTTTCATTCTCTTTCCCTTGCACTGGGCCGGCCGGGCTTTGAACACAGGCTTCTCCAGTGTCGCAAAAGAAATTCGAGGTTACGAATTTCGTTCTCGACGCACCAGCTTCTCTCCGCTATTATCCAGCAGCTGGCGTTTCGCCTCCGTCGTGCGAAACGCGTTCGATAGATTTCAATCTCGATTCCGGATCACTTTGGATTCATTCCGATACCTGACACCCGATCGATCTGCCCCGAACTTTCTATACGTACCTTCGCAACTCGATCGAACAGTATATTCTATACATCTTATTGTCGTGACAGTTAGGGTGAAGTGTCGAGAAACAGAGTTCTGTGGTGTATAATATAAATAAGAACTATACGGTATAAGATAAATAAGAACTATTACGATTTTCATTGTTTTCAAAGAGGAAATGTGAATAACGGGAACAGATTGAATTAAAGAAATGCATGATGTTATTTATTATTTGATAAGTCATTGGTAATAATAAATATATATACATAAATGTGTTCAAAATCATTGTTTCAGTTTATCTCTTTTGTTGTTTTTCCTTGGTATGTTAT